CTAATCCAATTCTTGCTGTGCTGTTGTAATAAATCTTACATGTGAATGAAACTGTCTTCTAAGTCCTATAAATGTTTCTGGGTAATCATCACATATGTGTGTGGTGTTGGGAGCCCTGGAAACATTGATGAATTAACATTGGCATAGTTATTTATGTAAACTAAAGATATATGTAGGGAGCATTTAGGAATGATAAAGAGGATATTAAAATATGGAGAATATTTAAGATGTCATTAATACATTCTAATGCCTTCATAATATTGCTGATTTTATAGTATAAATTTAAAGTATTAACTCATGAGAGTAGTCAGCAGTGTTACAATTATTGAATTATTAATAAATTACCAAAAATATATAACAAAGGTTTAAAGCATCTATGGACTATTTCTATCCTTGAGGAGTATTCAAGGTTTAAGAATTAACAAATATTTTTTATTGCTTTATCAAGGAAAGTTTTGATTTTTTAGAGTGCATGATTGTGAATAATACAATGACTATCAGATTTAATTTATACGATGGCCTCAGCAGTTATGTCTACTGTTGCATTTGCATGGTCAGTGCAAATGCCAGCACAATAGAAAAGGCAAAGTCTAAGTTTTATTAAGAAAATTGTTTTCACCTCATAGATCTGCTGAAAATATTTTGAGCCCCCCATCAAAATCTTCCAAATACATTTGGAGAACTTCCCATTTAAACTAACTGATAGACAATAAAGATGCAATATTCAACTCATTACAGTAGTAAAAATGGGAGAGAAATAGTAATAGTATTGCCAAAAATGCAATAAATAATGAAATAAAAAGGAAATTCACATTAGTAAAATTAAAACTATGTAAAATCACAAGTAAAGTTAATAAACACTTTTAAAATAAATATTTTTAAATACTTCAAAGAACTAAACGATACAACAAAACTGAAAGAAACACAGAGATGTGAATAAAAGCATAGTTTTTTTCCTGGGATGGGAATACTTAACATCAAACTACATCCAATTAAATCTCTAAAGTCCCCATAAACACCTCCTTAAATTGAACTATTTTTCTACACAAAAGCAGTTTCTATATTTCATCTGGAAATAAAAACTTACCAAATATCCCTTTTAGTAATTTGGAACAATGACCATCTAAAAAATGCTGTGATTAATGAGATATGGTATTGGCAAAAGAGTAAACAATAAAGAAAATGAAAGAAATAGTCCATGTTTTGGTCGTTATTATAATCTACACATAGAATAGTGTCTGGCAAATATCACATGCTCAATAAATACTTGTTGATTGAATAAATGTAAGGATGGTGTAATTATCTTGATAGCAATACGTCATTTTTATCACTGAGTAAGGAATGACTGCAGTATATTCAGAATACCCCATTAGAAATAGTGTGACTTGGAAGGTTTATTCAAAAGTTTGACTTTTTTTTTCTGTTTTTTGTTTTTTGTTTTTTGTTTTTTTTACTTTTCATTGAATGTGATGCTTTTATTTCATTTCATTTTACTTTTTATTATACTTTAAATTCTAGGGTACATTTTTCTTAAAGAAAACTAAGGATGAATGCAAAGGAATTTTTACAAAAGTAGTTGACTTTAGCAAAAACTTGCCTTAAAAAATATCAAAATACACTATAAGGCTGTTTAATTTCACTTGCAGTGTTATTGGGCCATTGGCTGAAGAAAGAAGTATAGATGTTTATACATCTGTTTCTATTTATAGATCAATATTTTTATCTGTCACCAGATCTAAGTATGTAAAAGTTGTATAGAGAGATAACATTTATTTCTAGGGTAGAAGTGGTTAATTTCATAAATATTAATTTATAAACTGGATGCATTCCCTGTGAGAAAGGGAGAAGCACCTGTGACATCCGGGATCTACCTGGTAAAATCAATCAGGCTTTGGTGGCATTAGGAGCTGATTTGGCCCTCATGTATGGGTGTTGGTGTTCTCTTAAAGCTCTTTTGACCTTTGACTCAAAAGGTTAAAATCAGACTAGGAAATTCTATTATTATGATGAATCAAGAAAGAGAAATAAGGCCACTCTTCAGTTATGTCTAAACAGAGAAAACACATGCACCAAAATGACTAAACACTCACCTGTCCTAGCTAATATGAGTAGTTGCTGCAACTGTACCACTTTCAGCTTTAGCATTGGCCCAGTATTTCCTCCTTCTAGATAAGAATTATTAAATTTTCCAGTCACAGAATTAGCCCTTGGTTCCTGACAGCGTTCAGTCCAGAGGAAAGTCCAGACTTCTTAAATTCTCCCTGAAAATTACCTAACACAAGCCCAGATCTTATCATTAAACTCTCCTACTGCAGTATTCCATGGTCCCCTTGTGTGTGTTCTTTGCTGCATCAAGCAATAAGCCTAATTTGTAACACTACAGATATGTTCTAGGGAGTCTTTGTTGAAAGGGCAGTGACACCTGTATCTTCATAAATATCCTCCATTTTACACAAATGGAAGCTCTGTTTTGTGTACCCACTCACCTATACAAATGTGGGTGCATGCACCTTATTTGTACCTGTGTTCACATATATAACTGCTAATAAATATTTGAACAAATATTCAACAGCATATAAAGCGATACATTTTACAAAAAGTAAAGCTATAAGCCTTAAAATTAGCAATAAAATATAAGATTAAAGTACTAGTATTGTTTTATATTCTTGGCATGGTGGAGGTCTTGATAATCAATAATAAAACCCAATAGTCCTAAAGGAACAAGAATATTACAAATCACTCAAATTGATAGGCACCATTAACAGACCAATTATAGACTGCAAAGAAACATTATAAAAATGTAGAAAAGAGAGGCTGGGCGTGGTGGCTCATGCCTGTAATCCCAGCACTTTGGGAGGCTGAAGAAGGCGGATTATGAGGTCAGGAGATAGAGACCATCCTGGCTAACATGGTGAAACCCCATTTCTACTAAAAATAAAATAAAATTAAAAAAAAAAAATTAGCCAGGCATGGTGGTGGGCACCCGTAGTCCCAGCTGCTTGGGAGGCTGAGGCAGGAGAATGGCATGAACCCGGGAGGCGGAGCTTGCAGTGAACCGAGATCGCAACATTGCACTCCAGCCTGGGCAACAGAGGGAGACTCCATCTCAAAAAACAAAAGAAAACAAACAAAAAAAACCATACACCAGTCATGTATTTGAAAGGAATTTTGCCAAAAATTTGATCAATCTCTTCTTCAATATTTCATATTTTTTACCAGTGAAAAAAAAAAAAAAAAAAACACAAAACAAACAAAAAAAACCATACTATATAAAATATATTTATATATATTATATATAATATATTTATATTTATATATATATCTCTATATAAAACAAGATATCATATAAAATCTGGTTCTGTTATCTAATGGGAAGAGGGAAAGAAAAAAGCCCTGCTATGCAAAATGGTCCAAATATGTGATTATTTAATTCATAAATAAAATTGCACAAATGCAAATTTATTCACAAACTCACTGGTAATCAGAGAAGTAATAATGAGAGCTTTGAGTTCATTTTTTCCATTCCTTGTTACAAATTAAAATGATTGGTCATAATTAGTACTGCTAAGTATTGTGGTACAGGGAGAACTTCTTCATTAACTGCTAGTGAAAGAATATATACACACACATACATTCATACAGCATTATTTAACTTTGGAAGGTTAAACAGTGAATTACACAAAGTGATTACCCCCTAGGGAATCTGGAGAATGTAATTACAATTTCAACTTTTGGTCTACATTTTATATATTATTTGATTGTATAAGCATGCATCTATTTACATGCATACACATGAAAATGTGTGAACAAATGGGAATTTCAAAATGAAGAAGAATCCTGCCTTCATATTAAAGGACAAGATCTTTGAAACTAGATCTCTGAGTAAATAAAATTGTTTAATAAAAGAGTTAAGAATATAAAAATATGGTGTAAATGCAGTGTTATTTACATACAAATAATATTTGTTTTTTAACATTCTGTAAAGTTATTACCTAATTTATTTATTTATTTTTCTGAGATGGTGTCTCACTCTGTCACCCAGGCTGGAGTGCAGTGGCATGACCTTGGCTCACTGCAACCCTGCCTCCCAGGTTTAAGTGATTCTCTTGCCTCAGCATCCTGAGTAGCTGGGATTACAGGCACGTACCACCAAGCCTGGCTAATTTTTGTATTTTTAGTAAAGATGGGGTTTCACCATGTTGGCCAGGCTGGTCTTGAACTCCTGAGCTCAAGTGATCTGCCCACCTTGGCTTCTCAAAGTGCTGAGATTACAGGCGTGAGGCACTGCACCCAGCTCCTAATTTGAATAATAATTGACTGCCATTTACTTTTTAAAAATAATAGGTATAGGCATTTTTTTGTTTATTTCTATTATAGTAAAACGTGGTACATAAATAAATACTAAGTACATTTTTACTCTACTTATTGCCTCACTCTAACTTTATTTACAATTGGAATCCTTAGTAAACAAATCACCCATGAGACCCTTGAGAAAAGTTTGTTTCTCCTGAAAACCACCTTTTCATTCCCTCAAGGATATATTTTGGTATTGGTAACTTACGAGTTAATTATCAAATATTTTAGCTAATGAATATTGCTGACCAACTGCTATTTTAGATGTTATTTCTGCAGTTCTTATACTTGCATGCACCTGTGGCTATTCTAGAAATAGTAAAATAGGGTCTGGCACGGTTGTTAACTCCTGTAATCCTAGCACTTTGTGAGGCTGAGGCAGAAGGATCGTTTGAACTAAAGAGTTTGAGACCAGCCTGGGCAAGATAGTAACACCTAGTCTTTACGGAAAAAAAAAAAAAAAAAAAGGAAGAAGAAGAAGAAGAAGAAAAGAAATGGTAAACTAATACAGCTTCATTGGAATTATACAATTGCATTGTATAATTACAGGTTTGTACAGAACAGAATATTAAATTGAAATTGAGATTAAGAAACAAGAGCTCTTAAGTGGTTGAACTGTAATAATGTTTCTTCCTCTAAAATTTTAGGAATGTCAATTTAAGAAGTGCTGTGATTATAACACATGTAAACTGAAGGGCTCAGTAAAATGTGGTTCTGGACCATGTTGTACATCAAAGTGTGAGGTAAGTTACCAACATTCATTAAAAGTTGAACTGTGGTATGAGAATTCTGTATTATCTGAATCAATGTGCAATTAATAAAAATAATATATAAGGAATTTAGTGAAATAAAATGTAGAGTACATGAACAAACACAAGTTTAAAGGAAAATTGCTATAAAATATAAACGTCATCTCAGACAGGTACTGTTACAGTTACTATATGCATGAGCTCCACATACTGAATCGCTTAATATATGCAAACATGAATTAGGCACGTTAGCATGATGCTTTTGAGATTTATTCATGTTGTGGTGTCTATTAGCAAATAATTCCTTTTTGTTGCTGAATAGTATTGCAAATATTGTAAAGATATGCCACAGTTTGTTATTTTTATTTTTGTCTTTATTCCCTAAACAATACCGTATAATTGTTTACATAGTATTTATATTGTATTAGGTAATATAAGTAATATAGAGATAATAAATATATATGAGAAAATGTGTATCAGTTATATGCAAATATTACAAGATATTATATAAAAGACTTGAGTGCCCATGGATGTAATATCCCTGAGGGTTCCTGGAACCAAATGCCCATGGATTCTGAGTAATGACTCTATTCTTCAGGGTTAAAATCACAAAGTTTACCAACTTGTAAATTATCAGATAAAAGGGAGAAAAAACACACATTACTACATCCAGAAAGTTATTAACTCTCAAATAAATTATAAAGTCAAATAAATGATAAATGATTATGGAAAAAATTGTAGCATGAATAGCAGACAAAATATGCATCATATAGAATGTGTAAAGAACTCTCACTTATTGATAACTGAAATGCAAATCATATACATACAATTGAAACAAACAGTGTTTATTGATATTGGAAAGGTTACATAACTATATATTATACAAGAGTTAGTAAATATGGGCTAAATATTTATGCAGTAATATAGTATTATGTCCAAGACACACATTTGGATAAGAAAACAAGTTCCTTAATATCAAGATATTTTATTATTCCAATTCTGGTAAATCACCTCTATGTAAATATTCTATGTATTCTTTTTGTTGAATTTAGCTATTAATGTGTAATTTAATATACTAAAATTCTGTTAGTGAATATTCCCAAGTGTCAGAAGAAACATATTTAAGCTTATAACTAGCATCATAATCAAGGGTAGGCAATGTCATTTCTCCCCTCTCACATTTCCCCGTGCCTCTTTATACTCAATCCATGACTCCACCCTCAGCCCCTGTAACCATTGATCTGCTTTCTGGAGCTGTAATTTTGTTTTTGCAAAAATATCACATAAATTGAATCATACAATATGTGCAAATGTGAATTAGGCATCTTAGCATAATGTATTTGAGATTCATTCATGTTCTCATGTTTATTAGCAGATCATTCCTTTATAGTGACTGCACACTAGTAGTATTGCAAGGATTGTAAGGATATACCACAGTTCATTAATCCATTCCCCAGTTGAGGGATACTTTGGCTGTTTTTCATTTTTGGTGATGAAAATATGGCTACTTTAAATAATATTCATAAGCATATTTGTGTATGAACATAGTGTTTCATTTCACTTAGCTAGATACCTGGGAGAGGGATTGCTGGATCATATGGTAAACGTGGTACTTTACAGGAAATTGAAAAACAGTCTTTCAAAGCAACTGTACTGTCTTGAGTTCCCACCAGACACTTATGAGACTTATAGTTGCTTTGTAAACTGAATGTAAACACTAAAATTATAAAATATATGGTTTTATGCTATCTTTGCTACTGATTTGTTGTTTGTACCTTTTAAAAATAATTTAAATCATGGATCCATACAAATTATTGATTCCAAATTACTGATTAACTATTGCTTTACAAATCATTAATTAATCAGGCTAATTTCTTATTTCATTTAATGTGTAGTGAATAATTCTTATAATAGAACATGATCATATACTATAAAACAAAATACATTTTTAATATTTTTGCTGAATAGTCTTTTATCTTTTAGAGTAAATAAAAGAAAAAGGAAATTAAATGAATTAACATCATTTGTTTCATTTCTGAGCTCTATTTTCTTTTGCAGATTTGTGTTTACTATCGTATTTCTTGTACCTGAAGACCTCCCTTTACTATTTCTTGTCATTTTTGTCCTCTGAAAATAAATTATCCCAGTTATTTTTTTGTTTGAGACAGGGTCTGGCTCTGCTGCCCAGATTGGAATGCAGTGGCACTATCTCTGCTAGCTGCAACCTCCACCTCCTGGGCTGAAGCCATCCTCCCACCTCAGCCTCCCAAGTAGCTAGGACTACAGGCACACACCACCATGCCCAGCTAATTTTTGTATTTTTTGTAGAGATGCGGTATTCCACCATGTTTCCCAGGCTGTTCTTGAACTCCTGAGCTCAAGCAATCTATCTGCCTAGGCCCTCCAAAGTGCTGCGATTACAGACATTAGCCATGCCTGGCTCGTTGGTTATTTTCTGTCTAGGAAAGTCTTTATATCTCATTCGTTTTTGAAATATATAGTTACAGGGTATGGAATTCTAAGTTGAAAAAGTTGTTAAATTTCATCACTTTTAAGTTACCACTTCTTTTATTTATTATGCATCTTTGTTTCATTATTAAGTATTGTATTAGTTCGTTTTCATGCTGCTGATAAAGACATACCTGAGGCTGGGCAATTTACAAAAGAAAGGGGTTTAATGAACTCACAGTTCCTCATGGCTGGGAAGGCCTCACAATCATGGTGGAAGGTGAAAGGCACATCTCGCATGGCGGCAGACAAGAGAAGAGAACTTGTGCAGGGAAACTGCTTTTTATAAAACCATCAGATCTTGTGAGACCTATTCACTATCAGGAGAATAGCATGGGAAAGACCTGCACCCATGATTCAATTATCTCCCACTGGGTCCCTCCTATCACGTGTGGGAATTATGGGAGCTACAATTCAAGATTAGATTTGGGTGGGGACACAACCAAACCATATAAGTGTCAATTTCATCAAACTGGATTGTATTTTGTGTATGTGTTTGCATGTGTGTGTGTATGTGCATGTGTGTGACATCAACATATATAGAAAGACACCATTTCAACATGGTGAACTTCACTATGGATGGCAACCTATTAGGTCAGGTCACTGCAAAATTTTGACAATAACTGTACACCTCACCTAAGTGATGCAAGGAGGCCTTTATGCTCTCAGATAATAATAAATATATAAAAATGAGGCCGGGTGTGGTGGCTCAAGCCTGCACACAGTGGCTCATGCCTGTAATCCCAGCACTTTGGGAGGCCAAGGTGGGTGGATTACCTGAGGTCAGGAGTTTGAGACCAGCCTGACTAACATAGTGAAACCCTGTCTCTTCTAAAATTACAAATATTAGCCAGGCATGGTGGCATATACCTATAATCCTAGCTACTTAGGAGGCTGAGGCAGGAGAATTGCTTGAACCTGGACGATAGAGGTTGCAGTGAAATGAGATCATGCCACTTCACTCCAGCCTGAGCAAAAGAGCGAAACTCCATCTCAAAAAAAAGATACTGATGTGATGTGATGTGATGATAGCTATCATATATGCATGCCATTTACTATGTATTGTTCTAAGAACTTTTTCCATTACTCCTGTTCAATACCCATAAGAACTCTATGAGAATTTGTCTTTTATTCCAAGCTTACAAAAGTAGAACAGAAAGATTGTATTTCTTACCCATACAGATAAGTAGTAAGAGTCAGAGACAGGGACTGAAACCAGGAAGCCTGGCTCCTGAGTTTCTCCGAGAACCAAAAGGTAGAGACAGTGTTCCTATAGTTCCAAGGAACAGGTATGTTTAATCTGTGTAGTTGTTTTCTAATGCTGTTTGAGTCAGCTTGTTTCAAAATGTAGAGCACAAAGGAGGTGAGCAACTGCAAACTCACTGTCAAAAGGGATTCTTTCATGTCTTTCAGCCAGTTTTCTCTGGGCTTCACAATGAATACTGTATTTGACTTTTTTTTTTTTTTTTTGGCAAACTCATGGACTTGGGAACTCTGGTGTTCCCTCAAATATCAATAATTGGAAACATTTTATGTGCTAAATCTTTTCACTAAGATTTACAGAACATAATTTTATTTTTCCTTTTCCTCCCAGTTGTCAATAGTGGGCACTCCATGTAGAAAGAGTGTTGATCCAGAGTGTGATTTTACAGAGTACTGCAATGGAACCTCTAGTGATTGTGTTCCTGACACTTATGCATTGAATGGCCATTTGTGCAAGTTGGGAACTGCCTATTGCTATAATGGACAATGTCAAACTACTGATAACCAGTGTGCCAAGATATTTGGAAAAGGTATTGCTCTTTCTTTCATATTTATTTTGTCTTAAATTTGCATCTCTCTGTAGAATACATTATATACCACACAACTCTAGAAATGGAAGAACCTGAACCACAAGATTTATAAAAATTAAGTTTTAGTTAATGAAGGCTAGTTTTTAAAAAGTGTCTGAGGTTTTCCAAGAAAAGACCATACATTATTTTTATTGTGGTTTGATTTTTGTTTTTGATGATTAGCTATCTGGGCAAAAATCCATATTTGCAGCTCATCATTTATATAAAGATTAAAATCAGTAGATTCTAAAATTTATATAATTTTCTATTACTCCCCACATTAATGATCTAATTTTAATGGCATGAAACTTACAAAGCTCAGAATGAATTTCATTTAAAAATAATCATATTTCCTAATTGAGGAATAATTGCTAAGATAATGGTAGTCTTAGCCACCTGATCAAAATTCATTTTTATATTTTGTTTTTCAAACAGCTTTGAGAGTAATTCTAATATACTTGTGCATATATATTTGCTTTTCTGGTGAGCAATTATTCATAATATCCAAATATAATTTTGTAGTTTTAGAGGAATTAAAATAATATAAACAGATCAAAATTACCCAATGAAATGCGTATAAATATAATTATTTTCTAGTTGAGTAAAGTTGGTTTATTTGCCTAGTGGTAAACTGAGGAATATAATTTGTACCAAATGACATTTTGTATGGTCCATCTTGTCTTCCTTCCTCAAGGACCTTCCTTGAGGTCCTTCCTCAAATTTATTATTTGAGTAATAAATTTCAGTTTAGGAGGCTTAACCAAAATTCAACAAAAGCTGCAGAACTATGATTTCTTAAATCACAAGTCCATGCTATTTTCTGTGTGCTGTGTTTCTAGGATGCTACTTTTTATATGTGTGTATGTTTTGTTTTTTTAATACTTATTTCTATTTGAATAGTATTACTTGTTATTTTTAACAGGGTTTAAAATACCTAAGATTCATTAAGGAGAGTCTACAATATATTCTTCTTTTTTTTAATAATTAAAAAAAAGCCTTCAACCTAGAATTCATTTACTTAACACAAGACATCTTTTTGAGTTCTAATTGCAACAGGATGTTTGAGAAAATGTTGTGTATTCCTATAATATATGTTCTAAGATCTCCACAAAACTAACATGAATGCGTCAAAACTTTCATCTTCTGATGCAGTGTTTTGTTCATCCATTAATTCATTCATTTCCCATTTTCTCCTTGATTCATTTACTTAGCTTTTTACTTGCAGGCATTTTTCTTCTGTTACCAAAAACCATAGGTGGTATTTTATATGGGACATGTTAACTAACAAGTAGTTACATTAATTTTGCATTCTTTTATTAAGTAAATTTAAACTTTTAAAGAAATGTTGAAATATAAGTAGATTTGTTATTCAAAATTATACACTGAGTGTCTATATGCAAAGAGCCTACAATATTCAACCGGATGGACATTGTCACATGATTATTATACTCATGGAGCTTATAACCAAGATAAAAGGACAGTAAAACAAAAGAAATATAAAACCTATAGCCATGTTGTTTGCATTTAAAACAATAAAAATAGAATGCTAAAAGAAAATCAAGGTAGTGAATAGGGAAAATACCGCCATCTGTCATCAAGTAGTCTTCAACTATCAGCTCTTTCAGAATTTTTCTCAACTGCAAAGAGACACTTTGCCCAAAGGCACACACTTCTCAAGCCAGCACACATGCAACAATTACGTGAGGTGGGGGTTTTATAAAAAAGGTCTGCCTATTTTGGCCCAATCAAACACACACTGGCAGGTTATTTATATACCAAACAGCTACCTACTGGTTTGTTCAAGACCTTGTTGGGTTTGCATCTCCGTTTGACTTCTCCTCTGCTTCATCCAGCTTCCTTCCACTTCTGAATATTCTGATCTTTAATAAATAGCCTTTACAGTATACCTCATTTAGATGCCAGCTCCTAGAGGCCCCAACTACTAATTGGTAATGACAGTGGAATAAGTGAATATAGCCTAAAAGATGAGTTTTCAAATCCAAATCACTCTCTGCCAGGGTATCAATGAGCACCTCATCACTGGTGGAAGTTGATAATACACTCTCTTGGCAGATTGGGATAGTATACTTGTGAGAGAGAATACATTAGCTGGTACAATTGAAATTAATGGGGCAAATAGTAATTCTAAGGGTAATGGCATTAAATGGCTATTGTCAAACACCATTGAACTTAGGAAAATGTAACAAAAGGACATGCATTTGAAAGCAAAGTGTGAGTCTAGAGGGGCTCTGCTAACTTATAAAGAGCCCTCATCATTTAAAAAAGAGGTTAGAGGGAGATGAGGAATTGAGAAGTTAAACTCTATATAAGTTTGAATTCCTTATCAGGTATATTTTTCAGGATTAGGGTTCTAATTGGGAGAAGAAAGGGACCTATACTTGGTATGGAGACAATTGAAAATATGATCACCCTAATTTTGAGCCTCCAGGCTTCTTTGAGTCTATTGAACCTATAGAATGATCTAGTTCTGATTTCTCCCCCATCCCTCTTCATAACATCAAGTGTATTCTCATCAGTATCTTCCCACTATCCTTCATGGCCACTAGCTGAAAATGGAGAAAAGGCACAGAATAATAGAGACAGGGATGTGAGAGACTTTATAAAGCAGTAAGGAAAGTATACCCCAAAAAGATTTTGGTCCTAGCCAGCAGTTACTGCCAACATCAGGGAAGTACACATGGAACTGAATTCTGAGAGCTTGATCATGAGATTGAATAGAAGAACGCAACATGGGATAGGGGGGTATTTATTGTTTTGGGAGCACTCTCCCAAAGTACAGCATTTAACATACTGGCACGGATCCTAGAAGACAGTAAAATCTTTCCACTAGGATGGCTTCCAGCAGCATGGAAAAAACATGATGACTCACCCTAAGTGAAATTTAAATGACAGAATTTCCATAGTAGATAGTGGAGAAAAGGAGGAAAAGGGTCAGGGAAGTGGGAATACTGTAATCTATATACTGTGTATTTAAGGCCAAATGATTTGTCCAAACAGGAAAGCCCAAGGCCATAAGGAATGTGCTAGAGAAAGGGATACCATATTCACTATAAATTTCAAAGACGGCCTCCTCTAAGTCGCAGTCGGAATGCCACTATAGTAGTACACTCACCAGTAGCAATGGATATGATAAGATCTGGAAAAATCAAGACCCAATAACAGTGCTTAACTACCAGAAGCCAGATGAATAATGTTGTTATAAGCAGTAGATACGCAGTAGCAGACATGGGTACCTTCTCTACCAAGTGTCAGGGAGAGAGTTAATACAGTATGATTTCCCTGTACTCTGTGAGCAGCCAATAAGGGTGCTACTCAGATTGTTCCATTAAAGGAAATGTATTAAAATAGATGACTAGGAGGCTGTGAAGAGTTATCTCAGTAAATATCGCAATGTTAGGTCCACACTCTGAATCTAAACCAATTTTCAGAGCCAGAACTCATTGACTTAAGCAGGAGCAAGGGCCGTAGAAAAAAAACCCCATAGCACCTTGGCAAATATACATGTTAACTATTCCTCTAGTATGTTCCCATATGGACTTACAACCATTAATCACATATCTGTTCACTGGGGAAAAGAAAATATCCAAGCATTTTAAAAACTAGTGGACACAGACTGCATTGACATTAATATCCAGAAGCCCAATGTGATCATGGTCTCCCTGTGACAGTGAGGACTTAGAGACACCCAAAGTTAAATAGAGTCCTGGCCAAGTTTCAGTTTACAGTGGGTCTGCTAGTTCCACAAATCCATTTGGTTATTTCTCAGACCTAGTGTATATAATTGGAGTTGGCATATTTAATAGTTTGTGCAATTCCTTCAGTGGGACCTTAGTGTGTTTGATATCTGTAACTGTCCGCTTCAAGAAATTAGTGCTACCTTTAAAGATCTAAAGGATGAAGGGGTGGTTGGCTGTATAATACACATGTTAAATTATTCAATATGATCCCTGCAGAAACAAGATCATCCTGGAAGATAATATTAAACTACTACAAATGTAATCAGGTAGTAGACTTGATTGCATTCACTGTGCCAGTGTATGTCCATGCTAGAGCAGATTAGCATGGCCTCAAATATCTGTGAAAAGTGTATCCCCTGATACACTTACCCCCTAAAGCAAGTGTATTATTATTATTATTATTATTTTATTATTATACTTTAAGTTCTAGGGTACATGTGCACAACGTGCAGGTTTGATACATACGTATACATGTGCCATGTTGGTTTGCTGTACCCATCAACTCATCATTTACATTAGATATTTTTTCCTAATGCTATCGCCTCCCCACCCCCCACCCTCCGACAGGCCCTGGTGTGTGATGTTCCCCGCCCTGTGTCCAAGTGATCTCATTGTTCAATTCCCACCTATGAGTGAGAACAGGCACTGTTTGGTTTTCTGTCCTTGTGATAGTTTGCTGATAATGATGGTTTCCAGCTTCATCCATGTCCCTGCAAAGAACATGAACTCAACTTTTTTATGGCTGCATACTATTCCATGGTGTATATGTGCCACATTTTCTTAATCCAGTCTATCATTGATGGACCTTTGGGTTGGTTCAAGTCTTTGCTATTGTGAATAGTGCCACAATAAACATACATGTGCATGTGTCTCTTTACACAGTAGCATGATTTATAATCTTTAGGTATATACCCAGTAATGGGATCACTGGGTCAAATGGCAAATTCTAGTTCTAGATCCTCGAGGAATGTCATCCACACTGTCTTCCACAATGGTTGAACTAATTTACACTCCCACCAACAGTGTAAAAGCATTCCTATTTCTCCACATCCTCTCCAGGATCCTGTTGTTTCCTGATTTTTTAATGATCACCATTTTAACTGGCATGAGATGGTATCTCACGGTGGTTTTGATTTGCGTGTCTCTGATAACCAGTGATGGTGAGCATTTTTTCATGTGTCTGTTGGCTGCATAGATGTCTTC